TTCAAACCTTCCTTCAACCTTCTTCAGCTTGCTACATTTCATTCATTATGCCAGGCCTGTGCCGTTTACGGACACCAGGTGGAATCCCTGGGGTAGGCTTTTTGTTGCTTTTTTGCAACTGAACTTGGCCTGATGGCCTTTCACTTTCACTTTTACTTTACTAGTTGCTTGTGCAACTTTACTTGCGGTGATACACAGATGCGTGCTTTGCAAAATTGTTATCCTGCTTAGTGCCGTGTGTGAGTATACGCTGGTTATGATGTTGAGTGCTTGCTGCTTGATCTTACGGTTTTTCTCCTTCCTGTGGTGTTCTTGGAGATATATCGGCGCCTACTTTTTTGTCCCACGATTTGCCTCCATGAATTTGTGGCATGTTTTCTTGGAAGTTGCTTGTTGGACATTTGCACACTTACACTTGACTTTGATTGCTGTGCTTGTATGTTTGCCAGCTACTGGCTTTGCAGACATCTGTGCACAGACCCGTGCAGCCATGTCGTGGCCACATTCGCATTATGGCCACTTTGGGACTGGATCTTTGAATCCTGGTTGGGCTGGCGCTGCTGCGCACCAACATCTTGGCATGCACACTGCTCCTTTCCAAGCTCCTGTGCCTGGACCACCTCCTCCAGGGGCCCCGCCGGGGTTTTGTCAACCTTCTGTAAGGCGGGGGCGGTCTAGATCGCGATCACCCCGCGGGAGGCTTGCATCTCACAGGCTTCCGCAGGCCAAGGACTTGAAAGGTGACATGGGAAAAGACGAGTTCAACAAGTTGGTCTTGGAATGTTTGCTCTTGCTTTCTCCCGAAGACTTTGCCGACATTTGGGTTGGCATTCCCCGTGAGCTTCGGGCAGTAGCGTGGCGCCCCCCACCGGGCATCATTGTGGACATTGATTCTTTGAAGGGCGTTGACCGCATCCAGATGTGTTCCAAGTTGAATGCCTTGAGACGGGAGAGATGCATCCAGCTGGCTTCTCCAAGGCAGCAGTCACACTTTGAGGACGAGAATTGGACCATCACTCCCATGTCGAGGCTTTGTTGTTCACGTTTTTGGGAGTGTTTTCGCTTGCTGCCGCTGACTACCACCAATGAATCCAAGTGGAAGGCAACTGTGAAGTACCTTTCCAAATGCCCAGAGAAAGCCGATTCCTCGGATACCTCACGGCACATTGATGCCAGCACTCGTGCCTCGGATTCACTTGGTGAAGCTGTTGCTCCTGACCGTGTGCCGGGGCCCAAGTTGGCAACTCCAAAGAAAGGCCTGGCAGGATTATCTGCTTTGGCTGATGCTACTCCACTGAAAGCTGGATTGGACGCCCCTCCGGCCGACCGTAACAGTGAGGAGTTCGCAACTTGGGTTTCTGCCAGGATTCAGGCTGATGTGGATGGTTTATCTTTGGATTCATTAGAGGTGAAGCATGCAAACCGCTTTCCTTGCAAGTTGAAGCCCAGTGCTGCTTTGAAGACCCTTCCTCCTTTGGATGTCATGAGCCCCATTTACCAGCACACATTTCAGTTCTACTTGCGCAAGTTCAAGGCTTTGCTGACGGATGTGAGCCTCGGATCGGCCCCAGCTAAGTCCTTGAAGCGCTTATGCGATGCATTGAACTTGGAGGTGCGGGGCAAAGACAGCCAAGTTCCAGAAGTGCTCGCCCGATTGCGGGCCACAGACATGGTACAATGTCCCCCGTGATGGGGTGAATGTGAGGACCAGGAGCACATAGCTTCGGCTTGTGGCGCTGCCCTGTGCTTGCTTGCACTGTTGCGATTTTGGTTCCTGGGACTCACTAAGGGAAAGATGGAAGCTGAGGAGATTATACTTCGCATCTGTGCCAGTGTATGGCTCTGCATGCTTCAAGCGCAGTCATCCCGCAGGTCTTTACACCTGCTTAAATCTTTGGGTGGCTTGCCTTGGAATTTTTCATGGGAAACTTTGTGGCATGGCTCTGTCATCTATGTGTGTGTCCCGATGTTCCCACAATACTCTTCTTTTGGTCCCCTCGCCTACGTCGGCAAGACAGACAATTTTGCCAGACGTGTGAATGAGCATTCTTGTCGATTGCTTGCTCCCAATGGCGCTGTACAGCAACCCTTTTTCCATTTTGTGAGAGCGGGAGAGTGTGCTCCCCACCTCATGCGGCTGGCAATTTGTGAGTGGATCTTTTTTCCGGTTGTCCCCGCACCTGGTGATGGTTGTGCGCGGAGAGCATTAGAGGCAGACTGGATTCGGAAGATCGGTGTATTGAACCCACCTCGGGTGCACCGCTTGCTTCGGAGCAATGGTGTGACTAGCAGGAGTTCACTGGTCTTTGGGAGAAACCGCCTGGTTTGCAGACTGAGGGCCAAGACGTTTCCTTCTCCGCAAATTGTCTGCGGGCAGAAGCTTGCTCATGATGCTTGGAAACAAGGGTTGCAGCGAACCGCTGCTGCGCTTGCAGGACATCGTTTTCCTGGCTGTGGACTGTGTGCTTTGGCTGCTTGGAGGTTGTCGAGGTCAGCTTGGGTGTATGTAGTGCAGCGTGTCACCAACAACGAGTCAGGGTGGCGCCGAGCACGGGCCTTGCGCATGTTGCGTCGGATTGCTGGCATTCGAAGAGACTTGCCATCCCCCCATCGCTGTCATTTCTTGTGACATTCCCTGGGTTGGGTCGCAGCAAGCTCGCAATTTGGCCGTGCACGCGGTGCGTTCTTTGGTGGCCTCATGGCGCAGGGCGGGTCATTGGTTACCTATTTTGAGGCATGCACGGATTCGTTTCCGGTGGGCAACTACGCCCTCTCTTGGTAGCGTTCTTTGCAGCCGTGACTTCTTTGCAGACTTTGCAATGGTGAGGCCGCCTTGCGTTTGTCGGGAGTTCCTGCTGGCAGACCCCACCTGGCCCACGGTGACCGTGGATGGTCAAGTGCACATTGCTGCATCCCAGGCTCGGATTCCATGGCCACGGCACTTGCGGAAGTTCAGAGAATTACCAGCCAACTTGCGTTTGCCACCGAGGCGGCAGCAGATCGCAGTTGCTGTGAAGCAAATGCTTCGTCGACTGCGGGACCGTTGCAAGCTGGCGGATGAGCCATGTTGGGTCGAATCCGTTGTTGCCGATTTGACTGCAGCTTTGCAAGGGCTAGCTGCTCAGCACTCTACCAGATTTCCTGTTTTTTGGCTGGAGATTTCACTGGCCCAGGAATTCCTCAGGCCTTTCTTCACGCAGGTCTTTGACCACAACCTGTCCCGTATTGGTGTGTTTTGTCCTGCCCTAGTACACGTCCAAGCTTGTGCAGCTCTTGATCTTGGTGATCATGGCACGGGGCTGGATTTTGCTTGGGAAGCTGATACGCGGAGGGCTGAAGTGATGGCTACCATGGCAAAGATTGAGGGCCTCCCGCCGCACTTGCAACCAACGCGGCTGTCCTTGGTACCAGCCAGATCTTGGTCTATCGGAACTCCCGTTTTTCTTCCAAAGTGGAAAGGTCCAGGAGTGAAGTGGCGCCTGATAGTGAACAAGCACCACGCGCCGGCGACTGGTTTGCACTCGGCTGTATCTAGAGCCACTGATGTTGTTCTGGACAATATGCCCCGCGAGGCTTGGTCCGATTTTCCATCAGCCAATGCCTTCTTGGGCATGGTCTCGGACTTCAACGCTCTCGTGAAGAGCATGTTCATGGAGCCGCGTGGGTGGATTGCAGCGATGGACATGGTTGATTGTTTCCACCACCTTCCTTGCTCCGAAGCGCCGTCTATTTGGGATGCTCTTTCTGCCTTTTGGAGCACCCGACTTGTGGCTTACATCAGTGTGCCTTTACGAAGGGGCGGTGGTGCTGGTCGCCTTGGTCTGGTCTGTGATGCTGGCTGGGTTTGCTTTTCCTTTGCAGAGATTCGGGAGGTGTTGATGCACTTTACCTTGACCAACTTTGTGGCTCTGCCCGGCCTCCTCGGGCGTGAGCTGCGTGGGGCTCCAATGGGCGATGCTTTGAGTGGGGCAGTGCTGCGGCTCTTCAAGTGGAGTAGGGAGGCTGCGCAACTACCTATTGAGGAGGCAGACACTGTTTGTTTCCGCAGGTCCTGCTCCAAGCTGGTCCATCTCTGTGGTTGCAACATGTTGGTCCTTGACGTCAGTTTCCGGGACGACTTGCGCATGTTTTGCGTGTGGGACGGACAAGCCATCATTGATAGGGAAAGGGTGGCGCAATGGGCTATCTCCAGGCTGCGCGCCCGATACCACTACGGCACCATGAGCTTGGAAGAGTGTGAGTTTCGGACATTCATCGGTTTGCGGACGGAGTTTGGAGATGAGGGCCTTTTTGTTGCCCCTGTCTTCCCTGACCCGTTCGGAAGCTGTAGTTACCACACGGTCGACTTGCGAATTTTGCAGCCATGGTCATCGTGGACCCCCCGTTCACAAAAGACGGCGGTCATTAAGGGATGGCTGCGCCGCATCTTTCATTTGTCCAGTTGCTCCAAGGGCAGGGCTCTTGCCTTTGAAGAGGCTTTTTTGTCTTTATGTTCTTTGGCTGGATTCCCTAAAGACCTGCTTGCCAGGGTGACCAGAGATTGGATCCTTCGCTGGGTGTCCGCAAAGGATGCCCGTGCAGTACAGTGCGTAAGACTTGAGGTGGAGAGGGCATTGCGGCGATTGCGTTAAAAAGTTTGCCGTCACTCATTTCACTTGCTCTTACTTGCTGTTTCTTGCTGTGCACCCCTACGGGTGCTATGTGGGGGCGATCCAGTGCAGCATTGCTGGCTGGGTCACTGTAA